AGAAGGCTGGTAACACCTTAACTTAATTGATGTTTAGAGAACACTGGCCCCCCAAACTACAGAATATACATTTTTTTCTAAGTGTACATGGAATGTTCACCAAGACAGAACATAGGGTAGACTGTAAAATAAGTTTAAATAGACTTCAGATGAATGAAATCTTGTAGATTATGTTATCTACCCACAATAGAATTAAATCAGAAATCAACAAATGTACAACATCCAGAAGACAGAAATTAAAAACCCACTTCTAAACAAAGTGAGTTGTTAAAGGGTCAAAGAAGAAATCATAAAAATATTAAAATTATTTTAATTGAATGACAATAAAAACAATATATCACAATACGTAGGATGCAGTTAAAGCAGTGTTTAGAGAAGAAATTAAAGCTTTATATGCTTATATTAGAAAGAAGGAGGATCTAAATCTATGATCTTAAATGATACTACTTAGGATAAGTAGTAGGAAGTTAAAAAAAGAGGAGCAAAGTAAACAAAGTAGAAGGACAGAAATAAAGTTACGAGCAGGAATCAATTAAATGGAAAACAGACAAATAAGAGAGAAATCCAGTGAAACCAGCAGCCACTTTAATTTTTAAGTCAATAAAAGAGATTACACCCAATTATTTTGGTTCAATAAAATAAGAGACACAAATTACCAATTTCAAGAAGAGGGGCCCATAATATATTTCTGGTCCACTGATTTTTGACAAGCGTGTACAGACCATTCAGTAGAGAAAAGAAGTATTTTCAATAAATAGTTTTGAGAAAACTGGGTATCTACATGCAAAAAATGAAGTTGATGCCTATCTCACACCAAATATGAGATTAATTCAAAATGAAACAAAAGCCTAAAGTAAGAGCTTAAACTAAAATGCTCTTAGGGCCAGTGCAGTGGTTCATGCCTGTAATCCCAGAATTTTGGGAGGCTGAGGTGAGAGGACTGCTTGAGCCCAAGAATTCAAGACCAGCCTGGGCAACATGGTGAGAATTCGACTCTACAAAAACAAAAACAAAACAAAAACAACTCCTCGGGAGGCTGAAACGGAAGGATTCCAAGTGATTGAGACTGCAGTGAGCTGGGATCCTGCTACTGCACTCCAGAATGGGATACAGAGTGAGACCCTGTCTCAAACAAACACTCAGGAAAAAAACACTTGAGGAGTTTAGCTTTGCCAACTGCTTGCCTTAGAAGGAATGTAAACAGTATCTTAAAAGTTGCCTGTAGGGCAACCCCTTCAGGACCCCTCCCACTGTGGGAGCTTTTCTTTCTTTAAAAAAAATCCTGCTTTCTCAAAAAAAAAAAAAAAAAAGTTCCCTGCATTTTAGACTTGAGTAGGGCTCAATTTGTGGAGTTTTACAGAAAATCAAACAAAACATGAATATTGGAAAAATAGAGTAAAAACATGTTAAATCCATCTCATGGACTTTACATTTGTTGTTCCCTCAGGCTAGAGCATTTCACACCTCACTTGACCCTCTCTCTTTACCTGACTAAACTCGCTGATTCAGATCTAAGCTTAAATGCCATTTGCTTGAGAACATTCCCTGATCACAGATATTAGGTTAGAGGCTATATCCCCCTACCCTTTACAAGTTTCATACGAATTTCTTCGTAACACTAAGCATGCCCTATAAGTGACAGGCTCCAAAACTGCAGAGGACAGGTTTTCTTTCCACAGCTGTGTACCCAGTGCCTAGCACAGAGCCTGACATATGCAAGTGCTAAATAATTATCTGTGACTGAATGGATGGCTTCCTGCCTTGACCTCAACTCCCTTCACTTTTCCCACCCTGAGCATTCCTGAGCCCACATATCTGTAATGTAGGGAACCTGAGGGTTGGTCTTTAGGTCAGAGCAGCTACATCTCACGCTCCCATCTGTGTCCCTGAAGAAACAGTAGAGAAGCAGAAAGTCACCTTGTTGTAGGCCACGCTAAGGTACCTCAGCTCCGGGAAGGGTGGGGCCAGCGTCTGGTTCCTGGCCTGCAGTGACTTCACAGGAAGAATCTTGAATATGGGAGGAAGTGCACATGCCTTGGTTGTCTTATGAGGAAAAAAAAAGTCAAAGTCAAAGCACCCTAATAATAAAGAAGTTAAGGCTGCCAAACAGGTCCTTCTATGGAGTGTGGTGGAAAGAGAACGTGACCTTCCTAGAGAGATCTGGCCAAAAGGGACATTGCGGGTCATAAAGGAGATGTTACCACTGGCCCCGAATTCTGGCTCCAAGTTCTCTGAGATCAAGTGGTGAGCTAATCTCCAGCCCCTACAGTTCCAGGTTCATGTTTTCTGAGGCCACAGCACTGGTGCAGACATTAGAGGTACTTTGCTACATCTCACCCCTCTAGCCTATGGTAACTAATCCTGGATTGGCCCTTCTCATGGTTGAGCTCAACTTTCTCCAGAAGGCAAACGGGCCAGATATTTGTGTTGCTAAGAAACATTTTCCCGGTGGGGAGAAGGAGGATGAGAGTGACTTGAATGCCTGGTCTGATGGTCCAGCCCACAGTCTACAGCAGAGGTTCTTATCTGAGGATGAAACAACAGCTAAGTCTTGGATGACTTAGCCAGCCCTTGGGGCTTGAATGTGGCATGGTGCATTTGGGTCACTATCAGGGTCACTGTCTCTCCATATGCAGAAAAAGGAAATTACTGGATTACCCATACCTAACTCATTACATTCACTGATTCCCTGAGCTAGATGGGACCAAAGGATATTACAAGGGTAGCCCTGGGCTGATGATCAGGTTTAGATGAATTAGATTCTGTCCAAAACACCATTAATCATTGTGTAATACTGCATTTTCTTTTCTTTTCTTTTTTTGAGACAGGATTTCTCTCTGTTGCCCAGGCTGAAGTGCAGTGGTAGCTCATTGCAGCCTCCAACTCCTAGGATCAAGCAATGCTTCTGCCTCAACCTTCAGAGTAGCTAGGATTACAGGCATGTGCCACAATGCCCAGCTAATTTTTTAGAGATGAGATCTCACTATGTTACCAGGCTGGTCTCAAACTCCTGGCCTTGAGTAATTCTCCCACCTCAGTCTCCCAAAGTGTTGGCATTACAGGCATGAGCCACTGCACTCAACTCACTGTGTAATCTTTAGCCAAGCACTTAAATTTTGCTTGTTCATTCAATGACCATTTGTGGATCACCTACTGTGGGCTAAATATTTTGTGCCCTTCTGGGTCAATTTGTAAAGCCACACAAGTGGGCAGGTCCATCATGGATGAGTGTAAAACAAGAACTGATGATGTGTTTGGGATGACATCCCTCTCCAGGTGCTCCCAAGGCAATCTCTGAGATACAGGAACAGGATGTGGTGGCAGTGTGTGAGGCAGTCTCCTCTACCATGCAGTTCTCCACTGCATGTATGGCTGTGTGAGCTGAAGGGGGTGAGTCTGACTGAGAAGGAAAACCAGAGAGTCAAGGTCAGGAGTGTCCTGATCTGGTGGCATGACTGGCTCTGCGAGGGAGCTAAGAGGGGGATGCATCTGGTTTTCATAGGTAAAGGCCACTTCAAGTCTCAACTATCCAAGTCACTCTCTAGATTCTCAGATGTAAGAGAGCTGGAATCTGAGCACTGAGAAATCCTCCAAGTCATCTCTGACTGCTGTGGGAGACGTTTATGACCACAAGCCCCTGAACCTCACATTCACACCCTTTTGCAATATGACCTTGCTGCTCCTCCCATTCAGAGGCGGAGCCCATCTCTCTACCCTTACATGGCCAGTGATTCTCCAATAAAAGCTCTGGGCTCTGAGACTTAGTGAGTTTCCTGGTTGGTGAGCACAGCTGTGTGCTAGGAGGATGACATGCCCTGACTCCACAGGGAGAGGGCCAGAAGCTCTGCATCTGAGATGCTCTTAGGCCTTGCCATATGTGCCTTTCCATTTGGCTGGTCCTGATTTCTATCCTTTAAAGTGAAATTGTAATTGTAAATATAAGCCTTTCCTGAGTTCTATGAGTTGTTCTAGCAAATTGCTGAACCTGAGTGGGTTGTGATAACTCAATTTATAGGCAGTTGGTCACAAGTGTGGATAGCCTGGAGCCCCCAAACTTGTGGCTGGCCTCTGAAGTGAGGGCATTCCTGTTGAGAACTACTCTCACTTATGGGATCTGCACTAACTCTGGAGTCAGCATCAGAACAGTACTGCAGCACTATACTGGCCTTTTGACTTGCTCTGACCAACAGAATGCAGCAGATGTGACACTATTTGAATTTCAGAACCTTGCAATTCACTGTGCACTCTTGAAACCCTGATGCCACAATACTGTAATGAAGTCCAGGATGAAAAGACTACATAGAGAGAGAGATACCAAACCATGACAGCTGAGTACTGGACCCCAGCCCCCAGCTAACCTGCCTGCTAAATGCAGCTGTATGAGTGAGCCTGGACAAATAAGCAGAACCACACAGCCAACTTGAATAATTGTGAGAAATAATAAATTGCTATTGTGTGAAGTAACTGTCAGATTGGTTTGATATGCACCAGTAATTAACTGATGCAATTTTTCACACAATTGTATCTGTGGGGAGGCAGTGTTCTGCACTGCCTCTCAAGGATGCAGGTTGGCTAAATGTAGAATTGCACTACTTATTGCAAGTGAATAAATCAATATTTAGTTTATGTGTATCAGTATCCATGAGCTTGGCTAGTGAGTGTCTGCCCTAAGATAAAAATCAATTTTCTAAAAAAAAATCAAGGGTCTAAGCCTGTGACACCAAGGATTACATACCACCTGGATAGTCATTGGGGCTCTCGTTAGGGAGCTGCTAGGCTTCATCCTGATGGCAGCCCCATTTCAATGCCAGTGTTATCACTTGAGGCACGTACCATTATTATCCTATGCCAAATGGCATGTGAGAACAATGAATGAATGGGCATGTCTGTCTAGTTCACTACTGCATCTCCAGTGGCCAGCACAGGACCTGTGGGAACTTGGTAGAGACTTGGTAGAGACTACTCAATGAAAGGGCTTTCTCAGTGTGATATATGTAAATGCTTTTCATGGTTCCATTAACTTATTTGTTTTCATCTATTAAAATTAATCTTCTAACTCAAGAACACGTAAAATAGTCAGTTCCTACCTCTGAGGTTGAAAATCCAGGGTAAGATGAGAACACAACCTCTGAAACAAAAGAGAAACAGAATAAAGGTTGCTGAAAGCAGTGACTGACCCCAGAGAGGCCAGGATCTAGGTCAGCCATCCACTGCATATATCAGGGTACCTCCAAGAGGGGATCCTCACTGGTCCTTGGCACCAGTGCTAACTAGGAAGAGAAGCTGGCTGTGACATCCATCGGGTAATAAGTCCCTCTGCACTTAGCATAAAATACAAAGTCCTGACCAGGCCTCCGATGCCCTGCATAATCGAGCCCTGCCTCCCTCTCCTATCTCATGACACCCTCCCCTCACCCATTCTTTTTTAGCCACCATGACCTTATTTCTGACTTTGCAACATGCAAGCACTTTCTAGCCTCAGAACTACTGAGGGGTACACACTGAACAGAGAGCTAATTGCCTTAGAAGAAGAAACATATATAAAAGACATCCTGTTAGAGGATTTGGAAATGGGATTTGTTATATTAGTAGAAATAGAATGTGTTAAGTCAGTGGATTCAGGAGAGCAGCACAGTACTAAGGAAGAGGCTGCAGAGAGGTTTCATTCTTGGACCATCAGAATGAGGTGAGCCAAAAAACAGTTAAATCCAACATAATAAAGCAGCATATCAGCTAGGACTGCATCTTCTGCAGGCATTGCTTGCCTTTACCTTGGGGTTAATGGGACCCCTTTTACATGCTAATGATATTATGGGAGGGAACAACACATGCCATAAATAGCATCTCCTATGATGAGGGTCCACAAGGGAGTTTGGGAAAGGTTTGCACAATGAACAAAGTAGGAGTTCGCAGGGGGATGGTCCATGTTGCAAGCGTAGATCTAAGCAGTGACACCCTGGAGAAACAGAGCACCTTGAGAAAGATGGACTATAGCATACTCTGCCTAACGCAAATCCTGCCCTCCCCACGATCACAGGAAGCAACCCCAGAGCTCAGAACATGAATTTTAAGCTCCTGATTGAGGACTGTTATATTTTTAAAAATCGAGAATCTTTTAGTAGTTGAGGAAAGCTAACAATATAAAAAATGGAAGAATTAAAGACCAGGCGTGGTGGCCTACGCCTGTAATTATAGCACTTTGGGAGGCCGAGGCAAGAGGATCACTTGAGGCCAGGAGCTAAAAACCAGTCTGGGAAACAGAGAGAGAGCTCTACCTACAAAAAAAATTTCTAAATGAGCCAGGCATGGTGGCGCACACCTGTAATGCCAGTTACACTCCAGCCTGGGCAACAGAGTGAGACTCTGACACACACACACACACACACACACACACACACACACACACACACACACACACTATGAATTAAGCACCTGGAAAAAAGTTTATTTATAAAAATAAAAAATTTCAACATAGAAATAATTAGCATTTTCTGAGAAATTCAAAAGATTATATCATTTCTAAAACAAAAGCAGATTGTTGTGGAAGCAACAATTTTGTACATTTAAAATATGATAATCAAATAAAAGACTTGATAAATGTGCTAGACAGAAGAACAGACCCAGTTGAAGAACTAATTCTTAAATGAAAGACTGAGCCAAAAAGACTCTCAGAACACAAAAAGGCAGAGAGAAGATGGTAGGATACAAGGTAACCCACTTATATCCCAGACAACAAGAATTCTGCACTCATCCACAGTCAGGTCTCTCTGTAGGAGTCTCAGGATTCAGGTAGTAGTCTGGGGTCTTGGAACACCAAGACCTTGATGGGTAGTTTTGAGAGTACAGACTCCCCCACTCAGGTGGCTGATCTGCTAAACTTGCTCCCTTATGCAAGCCCAGAAAGAGTCTGGTTCTCCAAGAGGCTTGGCTACAGCAACAGTTGGCCTTCAGCCTGCAATCAAAACTATCTACCGAGGGGTCCAGAATGAATCCTACGCACAAGTGCCTGGGTGGAAAGGCTTAGAATTGGTCTTGGCAGTGAA